AAATTGTTGCTCCGGAGGCGATCTTGAACGTTTTGAATGTGATGGCCGATTAGAGCTAGAACCGGGTGCTTGACTTGCAAATTTGGATAACAACATATCAAAAGTTGGCTTGATTTTTTTGTACTTAGTTTCATTATTTTTCCACTTGCCAACTTCTGAATTCTTAGGCTTGATCAATTTAACATGAGTATCCTCTTGCACTTGTGGTTGCCCCCCGAGTGTAGCATTTTTTATAGTGATCTTCAACACTTCCTTGCCATCGGGTTGCTTCTCAAGCACAATCTTTCTTCCCAAGACCTTGTCGCCCTCCTTGCTATTCCTGGGTTCACCAATAACAACATTATCTTTATTAGCGGATTCGGCTATGTTAGGCCGAATTAACATTTTCTTCCCTTCCAAGTCCATGGTGTTTATCGGGAAGGGTTGTTTATCAACTTGCATCTCAGCAAAATTCAATCGTCCGTCATTAATGGCCGATTGTATCTATCGTCGAAAAACATTGCAATCATTAGTAGCATGAGAAAATGAATTATGGTACTTGCAATAAGCACGCCGTTTTAGCTCCTCAAATGGCGGTACGGTGTGTGATATTCTAATCATCTTGTCTTGCAAGAGAGCATCAAATATTTTATCACACTTTGATATATCAAAAGTAAACCTCATCTCCTCATCACGATTCTTGCGAAACGGCTTAAGAGCATTCCACATATAGGGTTTGGCCTTTGAGGGCCAAACAAATTCAGTAGTATAGACATCAACCTCATCGTCCGAATTATCATCATTGTGTTCAATCATATGAATTCTAGGACGATCGGTTGTAGACCTATGAACCTCTTTACTTCGACTCTCTTGAGCCAACGCCTTTTGCAAGACTTGGTTAATATTCAAAAACTCATAACTTTCTAGCCTCTCTTTAATGTGAGTTTTTAAACCATTAAGAACAAGATCCGCCAAGTCTCTCTCAGTTATCACTAAGCTATAACACCGGTTCTTTATATCTCTAAATCTCTTGACGTAATCGGTGACCGATTCATCATGTTTCTGCCTAACCGATGTAAGATGTGACAACTTTAGCTCATTATCGCCGCTATAAAAGTGATCATGAAACTTTTGCTCTAATTACGACCATAAGAGAATTGAGCCATGTGGTAAAGCAGCAAACCATGAAAATGCGGTGCCAGTTAAAGACAAGGGAAATAAACGCACTTTCAACTCTTCTATGAAACCTGCTTCACCCAACTGTGCTAGATACTGACTCACATGCTCCCAAGTTTTTTTCGTACCCTCGCCACTAAATTTAACAAAATCAGGAACCTTATAACCTTGAGGGTAAGAAATTGCATCGAAGTATTTAGGATAAGGCTTTTGATACACACGACTCTTTACTTTCGGCTCGTTTCCGAAAGTTTCTAGAAACATTTTATGCAAATCCTCCCTTAATTTAGCTAAAATTGGATCCGAGGTAGATGAAGATGTTTGTGGCAATGACATAGGAGCAACCTGAGTACTAGCTATTGGTGCAACTTGTGGGATGGGCGCCGAACCATAATTCGGCGGAAGACCAAACATACTTGCGCCTATGGGTGGTGTGACAGAATGATTCAGCATTGACGCTGAATTGGGCACACTCATAATAGCATTAGGGTATGTAGGTGTAGTCACAATCTGGTTGGTTTGACTAGGGTAAAAATTCAACGGCATACTATGTTGTTGTTTTATAGGAGGTGCCGATGAAATAGGTAAAGTTGGACTAGCGTTTTCAGATGCACCAACAGTAACACTAGATGATGGAGGCATATTTTTTTCAGCATTAGCACTAGCCACGAAAGAATTGTATGCCATCACATTGCCCTTACTAACAAGACTTTCAATCACAGCCACTTGCTCCGGAGAAAAAACGTTACTCACAGTGATTACATCTTGTTCGTCGATGAGGTGAGGAAAATTGACGTTTCCAACCGGAGTGATGTTGCCTTGACGGTCCTTCTTGAAACTTGAAAGAAACGCTTCCAAATCCTCCTCCTCGCGCTTCTTCTTGAGCGCCTCAAAAGCCTCTTCACGCTGCTTCTTGCGTGCTTCATAGGCTTGGCGATGTTCATCCGATAGCTCATCAAGACCGGGCTTAATGATGTTATCGGCGTCAACTTCTGAGGGCTTGGGGAGATTAGACATTGTTGATGATGATTCTTGATCTTTCGTCCCCAGCGGAGTCGCTAAAAAGTGTGTTCGCACATGAACACGTCACCGTGTACCTCCAACGCCGAGGGTGATGCACTGCAGCTCACGTTGAAGGAGACCCGTCCGGAAGCGCGGTACGCAAGCAATCCGGCGGGTGCTTTTCAGGACCCGAAACCCCAAGCGCCCCGGAGGGACCCCATCTGGACGCGCGGCGGCTATGGGCTGCCCTAGGTCGATTCGCTCGCCCCTAGAGCCTCGAGGATCGCTGCCCTTCAACACGAAGAACGAGAGAGAAACAACAAGGGAGAGATGTAAAAACTAGGATAAAAAGTAGTATATTGATTTGTCGATTGTGTGTTGTTCAATCGGCCGTCACCTCTCATCTATTTATGAGGCGGCTGGACTTCCCATACAAGAAAAGGACTAAAAAGTCCATCCGAAACGTCACAAACCCTAACCTAACTCGGACAGGAATCTTTGGCAATTTTCCCGATCAACTCGGTCTCACCGATTGTTTTGCTTCGGTCCTACCGAGTGAACGTGGCCAACTCTCTGTAAATTTCTGTAATTTCCCGGATCAACTCGGTCTCACCGATTAGTTTGCTTCGGTGCCACCGAGTGAGCGTTGCCAACTTTCTGTAACTTTCTGTAATTTCTCGGATCAACTCGGTCTCACCGAGTCAATCAACTCGGTCCGTCCGAAATGACTCTGCAGCTTCTGTTTCTGTCCTTATTTTGCCTCCACAGGTTGCATACGACCTCGGATTAAGATGATTTTTATATCAAAATCGACCGTTTCGACGAGAAGAAGACAACTTATGTAGAAACTTTTTCCAGTTGAGGTCGTATTGGGGGCTTAATCCGCCAAACTGTACTCTGAATATAAGATCTTACTACTTTGAGCATAGTTTCGGCCTTCGAGATGAAATCGGATGGCGATGGCCCAAACTTCAAAGACGTTCATATCAACAATACGGAACTCTCTCATGTAGATCTTCTCATGTAGATCTTCTCCATTTGATGCCATTTTAAATAAGTTCTTGACCGTGCCAAAATCTGGTGTCAACACCACCACACGAATCAGTGTGTGTTATAGCTAGTTCAGGAGATGACAGTATTGCCAGCTTCTCCTTTGTTCTAGCTAGGACAAAATTTTGAGGCATCGATTTGCCGCAACTCCTCAAAGGACATATAGACAAAATGAAGAACTAAATAAAGTTGCAAAGCAAAATTACGAAAAAAATATGATCCCAGAGATACACAGTAATGTTGTCATTAAAACTCAGGAATATTAATTTCACATGATCCCACCATGTAACATATCCCAGTCAGCAATGATTGAGGGCAGGCAAACTAATTAACAAGCAGCAAGAACTAAACAAAACAGAAAGACTAAAATAAACAGCTAGAACATGGTGAAACAGAGTACTCTACTACTCATGATGAGGAGCCGAACTCGATGCGGACGCCAACGGCGACGAGGAAGAAGGCATCGAGGGCGAAGAAGATGATGGTGTGGATGAGGATGGAGACGACGCTCGTGTGGAACTTGCCGCACTCGATCGTCCGCGATTTGCCAGGGATCTGGATGACAAGCCCTGGGGACAGAAGGATGAAGAGCATGAAGGAGATGAGCACCAGACCCCAGTCCTGCATCTTCTTCCTCCTCTTCTTCTTTGGGATGATGATGATGATGACTACTCAAGCCAGCTATGGCCTTTTCTTTATTTATGGATGGCTTTCCATCCATTTTGTGAATTATCACTTATATATGTACTGCCAGGACAGCAGGGAAAATGGTGTGGTCTGTAGAAAGTTCTGTTTCTGAAAAAAACTAGTGGTTTCCATAATATGCAGAACGAGACTAGCTTCTTTATTCTGTGGAACAGGAGGGCGGAAACAACCAATGTGTTTGAGTTTTGTCTGCATAAACTTAATTAATGAACGCATTTTCTGGACAGCAAACTTTCCTCCAGGATATGGACAGAAATGAGAAATTGCCCGCTCTCTAAAGTCTAAACCAACAGTAAAATCTTACATGGACCACATTGATACCAATGCCATATACTCCGTCCGTAAAGAAATAAAAGAGTGTTTAGATCACTAAAGTAGTGATTTAAACACTCTTATATTTCTTTACGGAGAGAGTGCTATTTAGAACTAGTTGTGAATCATCTCAAGAAGGTCAAAATTCAGAAGGATCACCATTAAAGAGTTGGTTTGTGGTTAGTCCTTACTCCTTACCTTAATAGGGATCTAGCTCAGTCCGACTTTCACAACCATTTGGTTATTTTTTAAAGGTTATTTTGCTACATACTCTCTCTGTTTTTATTTACTCCACATATTTGGTTTGTCTAAAGTCAAATTTTATAAACTTTCATGAACTTTGTAGAAAAATATATTAACATATACACCACCAAGTATATATCATTGGATTCATCATTGCATATATTTCCACATCATATAAAATTATTACTGTAAATGTTCATATTGTTTTGTACAAACTTGGTCAAACTTTATAAAGTTTGACTTGAGTCAAAACTAATACGCGGAGTAAGTAAAAACGGAGGGAGTACAAAGATAGTTAATGCATAATATTGTGGTTAGGAATGAACATATCCACGTGTGCCCGAATGGAAACACGCGGATAACGCTATATGCAGAAAATAACTTAGTTTGCCTTTTATTCCCAAGTTTGAACTAGTGCCAGTCTAGTCCACACATGATAATGCATGGCACATTATTTTTCACCGCTACATATGGATCGGACCATTGACTAAACATTGGTGGTCCATTTTTCGGATACTAGAGCTCTCATCTTCTCAGTAGCCGCCCATTCCGGTAGTGACGTCACTCGATGATGATATGGTGGTGTAGCAGTATGGTGGAACATGCACGTCGCACATTGCCGGAACGGTCTGAATCACCCATGTCCCTATCGCCACGATCCAACCCTGATCCAGTTGTTGTTGTTGTTGTTGGTGTTGTGGCTGGCTAGAACCCTGACCATGTTCTTGTTGACCTTGTTGTTGCTGCTGCTGAGGTTGGGTTGAAGTACCTTGTACCAATTGTTTTTGCTGTTGCAAAATAATGGCGTGCACGACGTTGTGGATGGCCTCACATCTTGACTGCTTGGGGATCGCTTTTAGTTGCTGACAACACTGCTCCCACATTACCAAGCAGCTGCTATGTTGCACCACTTGTGACCGGAGGAACGACATATCAGCTACTGGGCTACACTGGTGTAGGAGGGCATCCCTGCAAGGGTTCAACTTTTGATGTGGAACTGGATGTTCTTGTGGCTGCAGAGTTGGTTGCTGCTCTGGAGATGATGGATGTTGCGGCTCCGAAGCAATACGGAATGCAGTAAAGGGTTCGGCGGCCGTGGTGGTCGCCGCGATGACAATGAGGGCAAGGACGAGGAATTTCTTCATGGTTGATTTGTGTTAGATAATGTTTGTTCTCAAGTTGAGTGAATGGTGGGGTGATGGAGGGTCTTCATGGTGAAGCCCTATTTATAATGTCATCGCCTTTTTTTTCATCTTTGCATTTCTTTTCTTAAAAGTGCATGGATGCTTCTCGGTCACTAACATTTCGTAGGTTGCGTTAGGTGCAACTACTTACAAGTGTATTCTTGGACAGGTCATCGAAGTTCTTTGTTGTTGCATATATCATTCCGCTATCAGCAAAGCTTGATAATTCACATGACTCATCTTATTCACTTTACATGACAAACATCGATCTGGTTGCATCATTTTCTAAAACTGTGTTTGTTATGTTCTACAAGTTGTTACGCATAAACTAGATTAGCTTGCCTTGCACCGAACTTAGTTTGTAATCTTGTGTGGCCTATAAAGATACATTAGACTAGTATTGTAACTTGCAAAAGTAGACTTCCTGCAAAAAAAAATTGCAAAAGTAGATGATGACATGATTCGTCAAATTCCCTTTACATGTCAAGGATTGTAATGTCATACAGGATTAGTATAAGGCTTTACATGTAAGTACATATGAAGGTTAGTTCAAGATTGCGTCAGTTTGTCGAACTAAATCTGTATTGTTCTGCATACCATTAAGATAATCAAGTATTGTTTGCTGAATTTTTTCAAGTGTTCATGACAAGTGTTGGAACTAGGGATTGCTAAGAACGATAGAGAGCATTTACAAAGCATGTGCGTCCACATATTTTGTTGCAGTTCTTGATGGAAATTATAGTACAATTTAGCAGGTATTAGTTCTTTTTCTCGAATACGCACGAGTGTGTGTATCATCCATTAAAGAAGAAGGGGGAAGACACCTGATATAGGGCGGAACCCTAGGGGCCGATCTTTCACGTTTGGAGAGGATCCCTACGAGGAACACGAAGAACGCGCGGAGGGGAACGAGGGAAATCACGGGGAAACGCAAGAGAAAATACTCAACCAACATGAATATGATCACACATGTGTTAGATCCAAGGAACACAAAGAGATACACGGTCCAAATCCAACAAAGGACGATACAAGCGGCGGTAGTTCATCTCCGAGAGGAGGTCTTGAATCCACGAGGGATCTTCCCGTAAAGGGGTCTTGAATCCATGGTGGATCTTCTCCAAAGAGGCCGCGGTCTCTCACGAGGAGGAGATCCGTATGGATGAGCAAAGCTCTATCTGAAATGATCTAATCCTTTGCTAACCCTAGCTTGGAGGAGGTGGGGGAGTATATATAGTGCTAGCCCACGAAGGGGTAAGTGAGAGGGGGATACATGGGCCCTTGGCCCGCTCTCTACGCACAGGAAGGTGCCGGATGTCCGGGCTGGGGGCCGGATGTCCGGGGCTTCGTGACGGGCCGTATGTCCGGGCTGGGAGGCCGGATGTCCGGGCTGGCCAGGATCTTCCACATGCATTCTGTGATGGAGGGGCCGGATTTCCAGGAGAAGGGGCCGGATGTCCGGTGGCTCGCGAGGGGCCGGATGTCCGGGCTGGCTTGGCCGATTCTGGCGCTCTCTAGATAGAAGGGGGCCGGATTTCCAGGCGTTGGGCCGGATGTCCGGGCCTGGCCGGATGTCCGGGCCTGGCCGGATGTCCGGAGCCTGTAGCAGCTGGCTCTTCTTCCTTCTCCTCTTCCATGCTTCCGCGCATGCTCGGCCTTGGTCCTTGGGTTCTCCATGGTCTCCTCGGGTGTACCTGAGTATGCACAAGGTCTACGCTTGAAGTAGCAACCATGTCTCACATGTGGAAAGTGAAGGTTTAGAGGGGAGCGAGTTCACCTTGTGTCCAATGGCGTATGCTCGAGGTCTCATCATATGTCCTCTTGGGGCTCGGAGAGTAGTCGGAGTGTACATGGGGATGAACGTGGGATGCTTCGCATCATCTCCCCCCCCCCCCTTGGGAAAGATCTGACCTCGGATCATGATCCTCATCACCATGGAAACGGTTGTCATGGACGGACTTGTAGTAGGACGAAGTTGAAGACATGGCGCAATCCAAGTAGTCCAAGGTGTCACCGGAGTGATAGACATGCAAAAAGAGCAAACACAAGCGACACTCGGAAATACAATGGTTAGCGCACACAAAGTGTCCATCATGTAAGAATGAGTCTGTGCGGCAAGATAGTGCGTGACAAAGCGCATCAAGCTTAACAAGATGGTATAGAATGGTATGCAAAGCATTCATGGGAGCAAATGCAGTCATTGTGCACACAAATGTGTTATGAATATGAGCAATGCAACCACGATGCAAAATGATGTCATAATGGGATGGTGCATCAAAAGCATGAACATATCAATGGATGCTCAATATGTGAATGTCATCATGCAATTGATGGTGGACAATATGATCATGATGTATGAAAATGCCATCAAGGTAGATCACAACAAATTTGCTAAGGAAATGAACAAGCTCATATATCATGGATGACATGGGAATATAAGATGCAACAAGGCAATCATAATGTGAGTCAATCCATGCATGGGGTGCAAACTTGTGGTGAGTATGATATGTCCATCGAGCATGACATGAGGAAGCACAATCAACAAAATATGGAGGTGTTGGTGTACCAATGCTCGATGTCGTGGCAAGAGTGGAGTTTCGAAGGTGCATCCAATAAGGGCGAGCGCTCCTCAACTTGAAGGTCCAAAGAGCCAATCTCCAATGTCCCTCCTCCATCCAATAGATGTAACATGTAGACAACAAGAAGGAAACACCAATGAAAGAGTGACCCATCCAATATGCATATGTGAGGATGGCTCAAAGGGAAGGAGTTCACCTTTATGAGGATGTCGAAAATGGTGGTGTCACACATCGTGTATGCCTTCACATGACCAAGTTGTCTCATCATGGTACCGCCTTGTGAATCCTTCAAAACAAAAGAACATGGCAAACACTCGGAAAAACAAATGAGGTTAGTGCAAATGCAACACCTATCATTCGTGAGGTAAGATACCCAACAAGTGTATGCATCATGCTCATCATAAGAAGGTACAAGCGAGCATTTCATAGTGTGGAGGCATATGATGCGAGAACAACCGAACACAAGAGGCTCAAGTAAACAAGCATGCAACACAAGTAAGGTGTCGAAGTCTCCAAGATCAATAAGCATAGTATGGTTGCACTCAATACAAGCGGATATGAAAGAGGCAACTAATGTACACAAGAGACAATGAACAAGATATATCATGTGAGAGGCATGAGCATATATGTCATCAACCCAAGAAAGCAAGTAATAGTGGAACATGGCTGATCCAACCAAGCAAACAATAATAGTGATCAAGTTAAGCAAGCTAGTAGTGCGAAGATGCAACATACTGGAAGGAATCATGGCAAGCATATCATGTGTGCAAATAGTGGGCATGAATAATGCACATGACATATCACAAGCATGAAAGCAAGATATGAGAAAAATATCATCAATGCATTGGCTAGAGGCCATATGTAAATAGCAATGGGGCATCATGACTCTCCTAACACAACAAGCATCAATGGCATGGGGCACATGATAAACATGGCAATAGCAACAAGGATCTCCACCAAGCATGCAAATACACATAGGAGTATCATAATGGTGAAGCATGGGTAGATGCAAGGAAGGGTCACAATTGCATGGCAAAGGCATAGAAGCAAGTATAACATGCAAAGTGATCACAATAGTATGGGCATAAGGTGACAAGTGGTAAATAGCCCATAGCCGTGTGAGAGCCAAGTAGAAGAGATGCGCGTAGTCCTTGCGCGAAGGGAACGGTGGTAATGGTAGTCCACGAGATCCCAAGTCATCCTTGCTCTCAAGAGCTCGTTTCGTCAACTCTTGGGATTGAGAGATTGACGAGTATACATGAGTACCTACACAAAACAAAGTCAAAGGGAAAATTGTGTGTGCGTGGTATATGTACACATCATCCATCATGATGCGCACGTGCATGTGTCGGTTAGCACAAAATATCCAATGCTCAAATAAATGAGATGCGCGATATAAAAACATGTCATCCATCATGATGGGTTTGTTCTTATGTATAGCATAATGGAGACTCAAATTGTGTAATGCATCATGAGAAATATCTATAGCATTGTTATTCATGGAATGCATATGGTGCACGCAATTATGGGAATCATGCAAAGAATGGAATGCATCAAAATCTCCTAATATGTATGAGGAAACTATGGGGGTCTCCTCATGAGCATTAATGGAAACATCACATGGAGAATATTGACAACATCCAAAACATTGCATATTTGGAACAATGTGATCATGGCATGACATAGTAGATGAATTGTGCAAATCATGTAAAGGAAGCATGGCAATATCATCACATGAAAAACAAAAGCCAATGACCATCATCTCGTCATCTATGCCATAAGTGCAAATGGGATTGATTTTAATGGGGCATGCATAGTTACTATGTTGAGACTGAAATGATGCAATATGGGAGATCTCAGTCATAGCATATGGCAAGTTCAGAGGATTGTCAAACATGACGTGACCAATAGAATTTTCACATGGTATCCTATGGAGCATAGCATCACAACTAGGCAACTCAACATGACCATCATCATAGTCATCATAAATAGGTAAGTCAAGACATGAAGAAGTCGCACTAGCTTGAAGCATGGGAATAGGTGGATCAACATCATGCAAGCAATCATTGTCAAGAGAGTCCACTAGTGGGACAAGAGAAGCACCATCACCTATGTTACCATTGGAGCATCTCTCATGTGTTGTAGGTGAGGTGTTGAAGATCCACTCGTTGTCCTCTTCATCTTGATGGAACCATGTGGGGGTGCATCATTGTCCATCATGGCCATCGGTTTTCCCGTTGGAGGGATGGACTCGTCGAGGGTAGTCATGTCCTCATGTAGGAGACCTAGCACTAAAGAAGAAAACACACTAGGAGTAGAGGTTAAGTCATTAGAAATCATAGTGTCCTCACGTGCCGTGTCAACTACCTCACTCTCTAAGTGTTG